ATGTTGTTATGTGCCAGAGAGTCTGACCTGACTCCTAGCTGACCCCTGATGGGTTTTCAGAGGCTGTAAATTGCATTTTCCTTCTCAGCAGCTGGTAGACGCAAACCGCATGCCTTTGGGTCACCAGCACTCCCAGCTAATACACTGCTGTTGTGGTTGTGAATCGGAACAGAGCTACAGCTGACTCTCCAGTGGGTTTTCAGAGGCAGTTAATCGCATGGTAGGAGACTGCCCATCCTTCTCTCGCAGAGCTGCTGGTGGATTTGAACCATGTGCCTTTGGGATTGCAGCACAGCTTTTTCTCACTAAGCCACCAGAGCTCCCTAACTAATACATTCTGGTGGGCAAATAGGGTGGGATCACAGTAAAAAGTCCTGGGTAGAGCCTAGGAGGTGGGGATGTGGAACAAAATGAAAAAACAAAGCCAGCCAAGCTTACCAGTCCCACAGCATCTGGAGAAAAGCCCAAGACTATGCCCTTAGTTATGCTTCAAACCTGGAACAAACTCGGCTCAGGTGGTAGCCAAACTATATAGACAGGCTTAGGAGATGAACAGGACCACCAGAGAGGTATCAACTACTAAGATCAAAAGGCAGCATTTATCTAAAGATAAAGCCCAAAAAGCAGGAGAGGGTAGGACATAAGGATTACTAGAAATGAGAATTATAGGGAGGGAGTGGGGAAAGTGTGACAACATGAACAGTGTTAGAAAACAGTGTGTATGTACGGCTGAGTGAAAAACCAATTTGCTTTGTAAATGTTCAGTCAAATCACAATTTAAAAGATAAATAAAATCAGGATTATAAAAATTAAAGAGTAAAGACAGCACTTTGAGGCCCCTAACCTGAGTCAGGGTACGGTATGGTAGGAATCACGATATGATTGTCTTATCTGCTCATGGAAGCTGCACAGTGAATGACGACAAGCTTCCTGGAGGAGGTGGCAGCACACTGGCTGTTTGTAGGCAGTTTTGTTTGGTCTCAGAAAACACACATTGCCATTGAGTAGAGACCGATGAGTAGCTGACCCTCCATTGGGTTTCTGAGGTTGTTAATCACATGAGAGGAGATTGCCCATCCTCCTCCACGGGAGCCGCTGGTGGATTCGAGCCACTAGAGAGGCGCCACCTGTGGGTGAGCGGTGGAACTTCCTACAGACCAGGCACATTGTTGTCCGGAGCCTGGCTATTCCTGCCCTTGGGGAGGTCCCTTCACTTCTCAGAGCAAACGTCTCCTCATTTGTAAAATGGGGTTCCCAGAGGGCACACCTTTCAGGGGGAATTATTTTTTTCCCCATAATTTTTTTAAAAAAATTCCATTCATTCATTGTTGCACTTTTCTCCCTGCCCACCCCTCCCCGCCTCAGTAACTCTTCTCTTTGAAAAGTAAAGGAAAAATTCTTTCATTGTTTTACAATCCTCTCCCCCCATCCACTCCACTATGCAGCCTTCACTCTGGACTCCTGTCATGACAATAATACCTAATCACATATCTCTTGTAATCAGTTTTCTCCCTCATCTGTTTCAAAGCAGTATACATTATTTATCCCATCTTTCTCAGTCTCCCCCTAACCCCGATGTCAGTCATGTTTTACAACAGTGGCACTATGCAGTATTTGTCCTTTTGTCACTGATATTTCACTCAACATAATGTCCTCCAAGGTCACCCATTTTGTATATTTCATGAGTTCCTTGTTTTTCAATGCAGCGTAGTATTCCATTGTGTGAATATCCCACAGCTTCTCTATCCATTCGTTTGTTGATGGGCACTTAGGTTGTTTCCAACTCCTTGCTATTGTGAACAAAGCTGCGATAAACATGAGTGTGCACCAGGGGGAATTCTAAACACAGAACTGGAGGAAGGGTTGACTAGGAGGGGGTCACGGAACGCTCCGGGCAGCGGGCAGTTTGCAAAGCCTTTGAGGTGAGTCCAATTGAGACATACCCAAAATGTTCCTTCCTGCAAAGGACTCTGGGAGTGAGCACGAGTGGCTCCAGTCCACAGTCACACTGGGACTCTAGCCAGTCTCCCCTCTTCTCTTGCCAGGACTGAATAGCTACTGAAATCCTGGCCAAAAGAAGAAGTGGCAGTTTGCTTCCGTTTGCAATTTGCCGGCCTTGGAAACCCTCATGGCCAGTACTCTGTCCTGTAGAATCACCACATTGAGTTGGGATCAATGCAGTGGCAACCGATCTGACTCGTTTGCTTGAAAGGTTAGTCGCTAGATGGCGCAAGTGCTCTGCATTCTCTCAACTGCTACCCTAAGACTTGGTGGTTCAAACCCACCCCGAGGTACTGAGGAATAAATGCCTGTCATTTGCTTCTATGAAGCACTTCTGTTCTGCATGAAAGGGGTTGTAATAGGTCAGAATTGACTCAATGACTAACAACCACCACCACCTCTCTGTAGATACGATCTTGTTTGGAAATTATTTTTTCTTGGGATCAGACTCCACAAGGGTAGGTTCTAAATCTTAGTGCTTTTGAGTTGTGAAAAAGGCAGAACAGACACAGAGAAGCACACAGGGAAAGCCAGATGTCAGGGCAGCCTTGTCTACACACCAAAGCATGCCCAGACCAGCCAACAGGGATGATATCAACACAAGGCTGAAACCTTATCTGGACTGCTGGCCACCAAAACTGTGAGAAAACACATCTCTGTTCTTCCAAGTCCCCCTCTTGTGTTCCGTCTGTGACAGCTAGGAAACCAAGACACCACATATGGCAGCTGTGAGGTCCCTGGGCGGTCCAAGGAGTTAACAGGGTTGGTTGTTAATGGAAGGGTTGCAGGTTCCAGTTCACCTGGAAGAGAGGCCTGGCAATCTAGTTCTCAAAAGGCAGCCATTGCAAACCCTGTGGAGCATGGCTCTACTCTGACAGGCAGGGGCCCTGTCATAAGTTGGAGTTGACTAACTGGCAGTTGGTTTATGGTGAAGATGCTGGTGACAGAGGAGAAGGATGTGCTGGGAGGAGGGACTCACATGTCTTTATGAGATAACATGCAGCCATGATGAACAAGATCCCAATTACCACAGCAGTGGAGATGATGAATACAAGGTTTATGCCTGGGTCTGACCATTCCCCAGGTCTGTCTGGAAAAAAAGAAGGAAACAGGTATTTAGGTAAGAAGACTTTCGGAGTTTTCCCCTTACCAGGAAATGTTAGATAGACCTTAGCTGAAAGCAGAGAGGAATGTCTATCTGTGTTTTGCTGACTATTCAAAGGCATTTGAGTATGTGGATCACAACGAATTGTGGCTAATCTTGAGAAAAGGGGAATTCCAGAACACTTGATGTGCTTATGTAAAACCTATACTTGGACCAGGAAGTAATCATCAGAACAGAGCAAGGAAACACTGTGAGATTCAAAATTAGGAAAGATGTACATTAGGGATGTGTCCTATCTCCATACCTCTACAATCTGCATGTGAAACAGAATATCCAGGAGGCTGGGGTTTATGAGGAAGAATGTGGGATGAGGATTGGAGGAAGACCATTAACAACCTGCATTATGCAAATGGCACAGCCTTGCTTGCTGAACATGAGAAGGACCTGAGGCATTTGCTGCAAAAAGCAGAGGAAAAACTGCCGTCCTCAGTATGGATTGAGAAAGATTTTCACCACTGGGCCAGTTGGTGGTATCATGAGAGATGAGAAAGAGATTGAGATTGTTAACAGCATCAACTTACTTGGTTCTACAGTCAACACCCTTGATACCAGCATTCAGGAAATCAAAAGACAAATATTACTAGGAAGGTTTGCTGTCAGAGACCTCTCCAGAGCACTGAAGAGCAACGATGTCAGTCTAGAGACTAAGGTGTGCCTGATCCAGGCAGGCCATGGTCTTCAAAATGAGAGCTGGACAGTGCATAAGAATGATAGAAGAAGGATTGATGTCTTTGAGTTGTGGTGTTAGAGAATAGTGACCATAACATCAACTGGCAAGAGAACAAACAAGCAGGTTTGTCCTGGAGAAGGTGAAACCAGGTTTCTCCTCGGAGGAAAGGATTTTGAAACTTGGTTTCACATACTTTGGGTACGTGGCCAGGAGAGACCAATCTTTGGAGAAGGACATCATGCTTGGAAAGGTGGTGGAACAGTTCAGGAGAGGAAGATCCTGAATAAGGTGAATTGACTAAGTAACTGGCGTAATGGGAGTAAGTGTGTTGGAAACAGTGAGATTGGCTCAAGATAGAGCAGCGTTCAGAGCTATTGTACAGAGGGTCACTATGAGTCATAAGTGACTTGATGGCACATAACAACAACAACAACAGGAAACCTTACTCCTTATTCTTATAATGGTACCTCTTTTAATTATCTTTAGATAGCTACTACTACTCCTCCATTAGTTGCTATGGCTTGAGTGGCCTGGACCCTCAGGTTCCTCAGATCGTGCTTTCGCCTACTCTTGGCCAAGCAGAGCATTCCATTCTCCTTCTTCAGTGATTGGTTGTTAGGTGGGCTGTGGCCTAAATTGAGCCAGTGAAGTCAGCTATGGGACTTCTTTCCCTGAGCAAGTTAAACTGTGCAGTGTGAACCTTGCTTCCCTAAGCATAACAGTCTTTTCTGAGAAGAAAGCCAACAAAGAAATAGGGAGATAAAAGAGGTGAAAAATGGCTCCTGAGTTACATGGTTTGAGAACCTGGATCTAACCATACCTGAAGTTGTGTTCCCCCCCCCCCCAATAAAGTATCTTTTTTGGTTTGGATTACTTTGAGTAGAGCTTTGACCCATTGTCATTGCTAGGGTTCTGGCCTTTCTGAGTCCATAGCAAGGAGACATCCAATAACTACCCCAAATTGGGTTAGGAGAGGGGTGTGTGTGTGTGTGTGTGTGTCCCCAGTTAATGGAACAGGAAAGCTGGTCCTTTCCCAGGGGAATCAGAGGAAGGCTAAGGGTCAGTGAACATTCTATGGCTGGGAGAAGTCTCTCACATAGGGACCACCTCCAAACCCTTCCTCAAAACGAATCCTGAAGCCATGTCTATTTTGGTGCCCCTCCCTCACCCAGGGAACTCCTTACCTCTGACCAGGACGGTCAGTGCTGCATGGCCAGTCCCGATGGCATTAGTGGCATTGCAGAAAAACGTAGTGTTGACTGACTCGTTGACAGCAGGGATGAAGATTTGGTGGCCTTGGGACACAACAAAGGAAGGCAGGGGGCCCCCGGTCCTAGGACAGACAGGTGAGGAGGTGACCTCTACCAGAGACCTAATGTGGTAGGTACCCTAGCACTCAGTGTGAGCAGGAATGCAGTAACCCTCACGTTGCTCTCTCAAGCTTCACCACCAGCTGCTGTCAAGTCAGTTCTGACTTCATGGTGTCCCTGGGCGTGTCAGGAATAGAACTGCCCCATAGAATTTCATGGCTGGTATCTGGAAGCAGATTGTCAGGCCTTTCTTCTGCGGTGCCTCTGGGAGGGTTTGAAATGCTAACCTTTCAGTGAATCACCGAGTGCTTCACTGTTTGTGTCATCTAGGGACGCGTGCTTAACCTATCATCAAATCCTGTTGACTCTGTCTTCAAAATCTAGCTATATCAGCTGTCTTCTTTTTTTTTTTAATTTCAGTGAAAATTTACAGAGACTTTGGATTTCTATTTCTTCATTGTTGTACTTTTCTCCCCTACTAACCCTCCCCCCTCAGTACCCTCCCCTCTTGGAAAAGTAAAAGAAAGGTCCACTCCACTATGCAGCCTTAGCTCTGGACTCCTGTCATGACAATAATACCTAATCACATATCCCTTTTAAACCATTTCCTCCCTCATCTCTTTCAATGCAGTATGCATTATTTATCCCATCTTTTCTCAGTCTCTCCCCGACCCCAATGTCAGTCCTGTTTTACAACAATGGCACCATGCAGTATTTGTGCTTTTGTAACTGTGATACTTCACTCAGCATAATGTCCTCCAGGATCCCCCATTTTGAATAATACTGCATGAGTTCCTTGTTTTTCAATGCAGCATAGTATTCTCTTATGTAAATATACCACAGCTTCTCTATCCATTTGTTTGTTGATGGGCACTTAGGTTGTTTCCAACTCATTGTGAACAAAGCTGTGATAAACATGGGTGTGCATATATATCTGCTTGAGTGTCAGTCATGGTCTTTTCGGGGTATATTCTCAGTAGTGGAATTGCTGGGTCAAATGGTATCTCTATTTGCAACTTTTTGAGAAAGCGCCATACCACCTTCCACAGTGGTTGCACCAACATCAGCTGCCACCTAAGGTACAACTGTTGGTTTCTCCCTGTCCAGGGCAAAGAGTTAAAAAAAAATCAGACACAAAGAAACAATCCACAGGCACAAAGAAACAATTAGTCCAAAGTATCAAAGGATGATGGGAACCCAGTAGAACTAGATGTTGCCCGTTGGACCACTGAGCTCTCTCTGGAAGGGACCACCACTGGGCATCCTGGATCAAGTAGGAGAAACAAATGTGGAACAAAAATAAAAATTATTTTTTTTAAAAAGGCCAGAATTACTAGTCTAATAGGAACTGAAGGGACCCCAGAGATATCTTATATATTTTTCAAGTCTGGAACAGAACTCACCCTCTTTAGCCAGACAATTAGGGGTGACCCCTAACACCCCAGAGATACACATTCCTAGGAACCATGAACTGTATGAGATCAAAAGGGTGGCATTTTCCCAGGGATCAAGCTCAGAAGACTGGAAGAGCTAGTGAAGGTGGATGAAAGAAAATGGGCAACACAGGAAAGAAGGGGAGGAGTGCTGTGATAATGTGGGGGATGGGGAGAACCCAGAAATAGACCCAGCTATCTATGGTCACCTAATATTCGACAAGGAAATCAAAGTTATCAAATGGGGAAATGACAGCCTCTTCAACAAATGGTGCTGGCAAAACTGGACTTCCACCTGCAGAAAGCTGAAACATAATCCACATTTCAGACAATACACAAAAATCAACTCAAGGTGAATTGGAGACCTGGGAGTAAAGCAAAACCATTAAGTTCACAAGAGACAAACTGGGATCCAGCTTAGACGCACTAGTCCAAGGTATAAAGAGACTGCTAAATACAGCCAGAAATGCACAATCTGAAGAGGATAAAATTGATGAATGGGACCGTCTAAAGATTAAATCATCGTGTGCATCAAAAACTTTTTCAAAAGGATGGAAAGAAAACCTACCAACTGGGAACAATTCGGTAATGCCATCTCAGACGAGAGTCTTACTATGAACATCTCCAGAATACTCCTGGGCCTCCACAAGAAAAAGACTGATAACCCAATTACAAAATGGGCAAAAGACATAGAAAGAATTTTCACAGAGGAAGATATTCGAATGGCAAACAGACACGTGAAGAAATGCTCCAAATCGCTGGCAATAAGAGATACGCAAATCAGAACCACAATGAGGTACCATCTCGCTCCAGTAACAGTGGAAAAGTTTAGCAGGGCAGCAAGTAATAAATGTTGGAATGGATGTGGCAAGAAAGAACCCTTAAGCCTTGTTGGTGGGATTGTAAAATGGTATAAGCATTATGGAAGGCAGTTTGGTGCTTCCTCAAAACGATGAACATAGAAATTCCCTTTGACCTTGTTCTTCCACTGCTTGGAATATACCCTGAGAATCTGAGAACTGAGGCACAAACAGATTTGTACACCAGTCTTTATAGCAGCATTATTTCCCATTATAAGAACATGGAAAGAACCCAGATATTCAACCACAAATGAATGGATTGAGAAACTAAGGTACATTCATACAGTGGAATACTATGCGGCAGGCAGGAGCAGATTTTGTAAGTTATTACCTAACTTGGGAGGGACTGGAGAGCATTATGCTGAGTGAACCAGCTCAGTCCCACAAGGACAAATATTGTATAAAACCGTTATTGTAGGACGAGGGGAGTGAGGGGGGTGGAAGCAGAGGGACGAGGATGTGCAGGGAGAGGGGGGATTAATCATGGGGTTGTACAATTTCATGGGTGGGGGGGTCAGGAAAATCGGAAGAATCTGGTGTAAAAACAATGCATTGGAATTTTGTAAATTAGTATTTTAAAAAAATCGAAAAGAAAATGTGGGGGATGGTCCGTCACTTCCAGAGATCAAACAATGTGTGAACGACTGAATGGAAAACTAATTAGGAAAAAAACACTGGAAACCCCAAGAGCAGTTCTACTTTGTCCTGCAGGGTTGCTCCGAGTTGGAATAGACTCAAGAGCAGCGGGACTTTTTGTTTTCTCCCCTGGTGGTGCAGACTGAAAGATCGACCCACTTTATGGAAGCTGTGTTTCCATAAGGACGAGAGCCTGGGAAAGCCTTCAGGCCGGTTCTGTTCAGTCTCACGTGTCTGTGAGCGCGAGACTGGACAGCGCCGACCAGTGACAGGAGAGTCTGCAGAGAGGAGCCCTGTGAATGATGAGGTTTTGTGGCTTCTGGGCAGAGTTTCTTCTGCTCCACAGCCCGGGGCGACCCAGTGCTGCCCGCGCCCGGTGTGCGGGCTCAATGGACAGCAGAGCAGGTGGACCGAGGAGCCTCGAGGGTCCACAAACAAGGCAGAAGGCCACCTCCCTCTCTTCTTACTTTCCTGCATCTTCCTCCTCCTTCCTCTGATGTGGGTGTCCAGCCTCCAGCTACCTCCTCCCTCAGACCCAGAAGTCCAGTCCCCACCCCCACCCCTTAAACCCACTTGTCCGTGTCCACCCAGGACTCACGTGCTCCACTCATAGCCGGTGGGCTCCGGGTTGCTGCGGATGTCACAGTTCAGGGTGACCTCACTTCTGCCAATGTACCAGTTGTCGTCATAGCCCAAGATGGACACTTCGGGCGCATCTGCGGAGAACAGACACTCAGGTCAGAGACGGTGTCTTCAAGGGACCTAGAATCTGTGACACTCATGTCACATCAAGGTGAGGCCTCGGGGGCTTGGGGACCTGCTAGAAAAGAGGGTGCCTGTGAGGGGTCTGGACAGTGGCCATCCTTCAGAGAGCAGGACCTAGGAGACCTACAAGTGGGAGTCAGTGGGGGACAGAGAGGGCTTCTCGTAGGACCCAGCTCTCCTGGTTGTCCCCTCCTGTGTCTTGTGAGGAAGGCCTCTTGGGTCTTTCAGTAGCCAGGAGGACATCCAAGGCCCTGGGACAAAACTCACACCCCCTGTGCCCACCCCTGGGGCTCAAATTCCAGCTGAGCAGTAGATAGGCGTCTAAGGTAAACAGGGGGGCCCTCACGCCTTCGAAGGACAACCACATGAGGGAAAAACACAGCACTTGCTCAAGTCCAGACGTAGGAAGGGGTAGTACAGAAGGATGAATGGAGATGAGATGCCCATGGAGGGAGTGGGCAGAGTACAGTCACAGCGTGAGCATGGCAGTTAATGTTCATGAATCACATGTTCTAATAGAAAACCAGTTTGCTCTGTAAGCCTTTGCTCAAATCACAGTGAAAAGGAAAGGCTTCACAGTGCTGTTCCAGAGAGTCCCTGAGGGGTCCATAGAGGGAGTATGGGGTGCGGGGGTGTCCATGTTGGTGATGTCAGGAGTGCCAGTGCTGACACGCAGGAGGATGATGTAGAGAGTGTTGGGGGGCTGTGTGGACAGGACTCTATTAGGGTGGGTGGACAACCCCTGGGCAAGCCAGTGTAGACAAAACTGGGGCAGATCAGAGTAGATCACATGGTGGACAGCGCTCTTGAGACCCAGGGTAGACGATGCAGGGAAGCCCAAGAGAGCCAGCACCAGGTGCAGGCGATGAAAACGGATTGATGTGGGCAGTGGAGGTGGTCCAGTATAGACGTGTCTCCAGGGAAGCCAGTGTAGACAACACAGTATTAATACAGATGATGAACCCGTCTAGATGATACAGAGGAGAGTTTAAACAGCTGGTGTAGACAGTGCTGACCATGAATGGCCCAGGCACGGCCAGTGTACACAGAGGAGTAACGGTGTGGGAAATGGGGTAGGTGTTGGGAAGGAGGGCAGGGAACAGTGCTGATGGTGACCTGTGGGATCATGATGTAGCAAGGTGGGGAAGGTCGGTGTAGACAGTTCTGCAGGGAAGCACGCAGAGACAGTGAGTGGGGGCAGTGTAGACGGTGCTCAGGGGATTCAGTCTCTATTCCAGAGTATCAGTGTAGACAGGGTCCAGGTGAGTCAGAGTAGACGACCCGGGAACAGTGTGGACTGTGGCCCAAGTTGCTGATGGAAACAGGGAAGGGACAGTGTGTTTTGGACACAGCATGCCAGTGGAGACAATGCAGGCTGGGCATGTAGGCGACAGTGTAGACAGTGGTAGCCATATAGACAAATAGGCAGAGAGCTGAGTGGATAATGGGGGTAATGTGGACAGTGGCCTGGACAGCCAGCTTTGACAGTGCAGGGAAGAGCAGAGCTGACAGTGGAAGGCAGCGTGGACAGCAGAGGGTGGAGGCGGCCCAGTGTGGCCCCGCCTGCTAGTCACTCACAGTGCACAGAGAGAGTCACAGGCAGCAGGTGAGGGGCTGGGAAGCCCGCATGGTCCACTACACAGGTGACGTTTTTGAGGTCTACCTCGCTGGAAGGAACCACGAGCAAGAGACTGGTGACAGTGTCTGTGCCAGGCAGGGGCCCTGGTGCCTGGCTTGTGTTAACCTGCCAGTTCAGGGGCAAAGACCAGGAGATGTTGGCAGGAGGATGGCCCCCTGCAGAGACACAGCGTGCTGCAGGCACAGGATCCGGGTGAGGCGGGCCTCTCACCTCCAGGGCTTCCACCAGGTCCTGGGGTTTGACTGGGGGAGAAACACAGAGAGATGGTATCACACACAGTCATCACTTTCTTCTCAAGCGTCACCTAACAGGCCTTTTTTTTTTTTTTAACATAACTAGTCTGTTTATTATCCTACTGATTTAATTTCTTTACAAAAAAATTCTTATTTGCTTAAATTTGTCTAAGGTTTTGAGATTTGCAAAAGAAATCTTTTATTTTGTACACAAGTTTGTCTAAGGGTTTGATACTTTTAAGGAAAAAGAGGCAAAAGTTGAGATGGTGGTGGAGCTGAGACCTGGGTCTTATATTAAGAGGATTTTGTGACTCTCACATCCACTTTTTCTTGCAGTGTTATTGACACAGTGACTGTCCCAGTGGCTCCAGCAGATCGTGAGGCGGTGCAGGATAGAACTGTCAGATCTGTTGTTCTACGAGGAGTGACCGACTTGACAGCCCCTAACCAACACCACATACTCTTTCCCTTTTAATGTGACCTTTTTCAAGAAAAGAATTATATTTCTAAGTCTTACATAACTGAGCTTGATTTATTACTTTAAAAACTGGGAACTGGGAGGCCCAGGTGTGTCCCAGAGGGATCCAAGTGACTTCTCAACAGGCTGTTGGCTGTGACACCCCACCAAAGACAAGGAGAATAAAGTGGCAGTCTTTCCTCTTGCCCCTCCCATGGTCAGCTTCCCCTTGGCCTAGGGGAGGCTGGCGGGTCTGACACCATGGGGAGCTGCTACAGCTGCCTGAACAGAGACAGCATCCCAGACAACCACCCCACCAAGTTCAAGGTGGCGAATGTGGACGACGACGGGGTGGAGATGGGCTCTGGGGTGATGGAACTGACCCAGAACGAGCTGGTGCTGCAGCTGCATCACCGCGAGGCCGTCCGCTGGCCCTACCTCTGCCTGCGCCGCTATGGCTACTGCTACAGCCTCTTCTCCTTTGAGAGTGGCCGCCACTGTCAGACAGGCCAGGGGATATTTGCATTCACGTGTCCCCGGGCCAAGGAAATCTTCAACCTCCTTGAGGAGCTGATGCAGTTCAACGGCATCAACGTGACCGAGGAGCCGGTCATTGCCACCCGCAGCAGCGACCCTGTGGAGCTCAGCCCCCAGCCTCCCAGCACTCCAGATTATACCGCCTCCAGCTTCTCTGATGGCTTTGAAGGGTGCCCAGGTGAAGGTTCCAGGTTCTCGGCTCGCCGGCGCCCCTCAACAAGGAGCCTGAGACAGCCCTCCCGTGGGGAAGAGCCCACCCATGCCCTCATTGCTCCAGATGAGCAGTGCCCCACCTACATCAGCACAGCAGCCAGTGAGGAAGACCACCGCAGGAGCCGCCACCACCTGCAGCCCCTGCGTGAGGGCCGGGACCCCCTCACCACGCAGACGGAGGCCCCAGACCAGCGAGACCCACAGGTCTTCTTGGAGCCGGGCCAAGTGAAGTTTGTGAAGGGCCCCACACCTTCTCGGCGGCACCTGAAGTGCCAGGGCCTGTGCCCCAGCCTGCATGACCCGTCCCCCCCACACCACAGTGAGGGCTCCTCTGAGGGTCCTGGCCAGCCCAAGTGCACCTATGAGAATGTCAGCGGGCAGCTGCGGCGACGGTCTCGCTGGAGACGGAGCCCAGAGAAGCCAGGCTGGAAGGGCCTCACCCACCGTCAGGCCACCCTCCTGCACTATGAGAACCTGCCCTCGCTGCCCCCCCTGTGGGAGTGCCAAGACCAGCAGCTGGAGGAGGAGACCGGGGATGACGGAGACTCAGGGGATGTGCTCACGCCCTCCTCCAAGAGCTTCCCCGATTGTGAGGCGGATGAGACCCCACTGCAGAAGCCTCCCAGCACCCAGGCTAACTCCAGTAGCCATGGCAATTTCCCTGGGCCACTGACCCCCCGCTGTGGATCCCAGAGTGATTTCCGCAGGCCAGGCCCTGAGCCCCCAAGGCAGCTCAACTACATCCAGGTGGAGCTGAGCGGTGGTGAGAGCCCTGAGGGGTCCCAGAACCCCTCAGTCCCCAACCCCTCTGCGTCTCGCATCTCAGACTCTTATGCCGTGATTGACCTCCAGAAGACCATGGCATTGTTCAACCTGAAGAGGGCTGTGCCACAAGACGATGGCACCAGGAAGACCCGGCACAACAGCACCCACCTGCCTCTGTAGGGCCGGCCTGCCGCCACCCTCGCCCTGGGCCACCTCTGCCTCACGCTCCTGGCCCTTGAGCCCATCCCTGGGGCTCAGGGTTGCTTTGCACAAGGCCACTGAGGTGGGGCCAGATGCTTACCCACATTGGTCAAGAGTCCCCAGAAATACCAGCCATTGCCTCCTGGTCTCCCCAGGGATGGGAAGAAAGCGGCCAGGCAAGGAGGGAGCCACGTCTGTAACTGTGAAGGGTTCCCATGATTGCATTCAGCACCTTCCTCTGTTATGTCTTGTCTGTCTGTCTGTGTGGTTTTTGGTTTTGTTTTCTGGTTTTGGTTGAAATTTTGCAGCATTTTGTACCTGTTGATTTTATTTATCAGTTTATTTTTCTATTGTTTTAAATGTTATTTAACATTTATTATGAATATTACAATTATTTTAAAATTATAAATAAAAAAACCACACTACAGAACCACTTCACAGTTCTGCGTGTGATGCTTGCACAGGGGCCATGCGAGTCTCCCCTGTGTTGCTCCCATGTTAGTGTACGTGGTGCTGCAGAGAGCATGGGCCCATTTTCTGGCACCACTCCACTGCTGGTGGCATATGCATTCTCCAAGGCAGTATCAACTCTCCCTTTCCCTCTCCCTTCACTTCTTCCCAGCTCTCACCAGAATCACCTCTGAGCCCATCATTCCACTGGCTGGCTGGGTGATGTGGAGTCGACCTGACTCACAGCCCCCTGGACAGAACAGAACGAAGGCCCTCCGATCCTGTGCTGGCCCCTCCATCTCCGCCACACTCGGTTCACCGTCATGCACCTCCTTGAGGACCTCACTCGCATCCTCCTCATGCCCTGTGTGTGTGGAGTGAATGGCTCCACTGGCTTTTGCTAGCCTTGGTCCCAGTTACTCCCCTCACCAGGCTGGGCAGGAGTATGCAAATGCGAGGTGATTATGTCAGGAAGGACCAAGAGAACAAGCCAGTGGAAGAAGTGCAGCCAGCGTGCTCCTTAGAGGCGAGGGTGGGGAGACGGCACCTCACCTGGTTTGGGTACCTTCCCTGGAGAAGGACATCGGGCTTGAAGAGCAGAGGTCAGGGAAAGAGAGCAAGACCCTGAAGGAGACGATTGACACACTGACCCCAGCACAGCGGAGTGTGTGAAGACGGTGCTGGTTCAGCAGGAGTTCCCTCTACTGTACCCAGGGTCACTGAGTGGGGGTTGCCTTGCTGACCCCAAACCAGGGGACTGGATAGCTTATTCATAATGTAAACGTGTGTGGCACCCGTTAGTCTGGGACCACACAAATAAGACATACAGAATGCTCATGTGGGGGTGGTTTCAGTCGGGCCACAGCAGAGTTGGAAAATGCAGAAATTGCAACCATTATGAAAGCAGAGCCGTGACACCGGAGGGGTTGGTGGGACAGGAGAGGCAGGAGAAGAGGACAGGTATGACGGCAGCAGAAACTAGGAGGCGTGAGACGGAGCTTTGGGCTCCCGGCTCTGGGACCTGGGCTGCGTCCTGGGACCATCTGCAGTGGAGCTAAGTGGACTGATTCCTGGGCCTCGATTAGAGCGTCCAGGGGCTCTGGTCAGTGGTGGAATGGGATGCCACTGCAGATGCTTAGAAAAAGGACAGCGCTACAAGTGCTTTGTCACATTTGCCCAGCAGGGCCCAGGCCAAGGGCCAGAGAGCCGGTCTGCCCTTCAGCATGGCTGGGAAGAGGCTGGCCTGCCTGGAGAGCTGTATTCAGAGCCATCTCTTAACCTGAACTGTAACCTGTTCCTTCCCCAGTAAAGAGCTCTGGTGGCCCAGTGTGCTGTGAGTTGCACTGCTAACTGAAGGGTCAGTGGTCTGAATCCACTGGAGAAAGAAGGGAAATCTCTTCCCATAAATATTCACAGGCTCATAGACCCAGAGGAGGGTCACTATGAGCCGGAATGTGCTCACCAGCAGTGGGTTTGGTGTTTTGGGGCTGACTTCTCCAATAAACTCCCGAATTGGGAGGGAGCTCTGGTGGCCTTGCGCATAAGGAGTTGTGGTGGTAACCCAAAGGCACGTGGTTTAAATCCACCAGCTGCTCCATGGGAGAGAGACCAGCAGACTCCTTCTGTGCAACTTACAGCCTCTGAAAACCCACCGAGGCGGTTGAGGAGGGAAACACAGGGATGGCTGGTTCCCGTTCCAAGGACAAGGAAGGGCCATCACATTTTCTCCTGGGCTCATGAAATGGAACTGAAATCCCCAACGACTGTGGGCACTAGGGAGAGTGGCTGAGTATCGAGATGCCTCTCCTTGAGGGATGGGAAGGAAGGGAAAATGAATAAATAGTTGAGACGGGCGAGAGGAGAGGTGATACAGAGTAAGCGACGGCTGCTGGGTTGGAACCGACCCATAGCTGACCCGCAGTGAGATTTCAGAGGCTGTAAATCACACAGAAGGAGACTGCCCATCTTTCGCTCATAGAGCAGTTGATGGATTCGAATCACCTGCCTTTGAAATGGCAGTGCAACTCCATACCACGAGGCCACCAGAGGTCCAAGGGTTGATCAGACAATGCAATTGAATGAACTACATTTACAATGGTAATCAAGATTATAAAGCAAAGTTTCTATGGATGAATGTAGGAAAAGCCAATGTGATTTGAAAACCTTCCCTCAAATCGAAAGGGGTGGGGGAAGGTGACAATTCTCTTTGTCTGTGGGCCTCACCTTTCCGTTTCTCCAATCAGTGTAGCAAACCCTCTGCACTTGACAACTTAGCCTGAAGGCTGGAAGTTGCAATCTACTTGTGGGTGGGGAAGGAGGAGCTGGTTAACTGCTCTATAAAAGGGCACAGCCAAGAAGAGCCTCCCAGGCACATCTACTCCATAACCCACGAAGTTGCCGCCCACTGTGGTTGCTCAGCAAGCAAGTTGGAGACTTTTGGTTTTGTTGTTTGCTTTTGGTTTTTTTTTTTTTTTATATATAGGGTGCTCACAGGAGCCAGCGATGGTACACACTCGCTTCTAAATACTTCACCTTGAATAATCAGTGGAATTTCAGACCTGCCGACAGAGGGCAGCAGCAGACTACAGTTGTTATATATGCCATCCAGTCGCTTGAGACTCACAGCAACCTTACCTACAACAGCTCTAAATCTTCCTCAATCCTGAGCCAATTTCATTGTTTCTGACACACCTGCTATCATTACCCCAGTTACTGAGTCAATCCTTCTCATCCAGGGTCTTCCTCTCCTGCGTTGTCTGTCCCACCTTTCCAAGCATGATGTCCCTCTCCAAGGACTGGTCCCTCCTGGCAACATGCACAACAAATATGTCAGATG